GAAGTTAAAATTAATTTTGAAGAAAGGAAGTGATAGTGTGGATGCTTATCCTTATGTTGAAGACATTGATTGTTTTCTTTTAAAATCATTAACATGTTTTCATAGCAACAATAATTCCTTATCCTGTAACCCTTAAAATGATGGAATTACATTACACCCATGAAAAGGTCCAACTCATGGAAATAAGAGCAAAAAGCAAATTTCACATGTGTGTGTGTTGTTTTTAACAAAATCTCAATTGTTTGGTTTTACCAATAAAGACTGGGGAGCCGGGTGACGGACTAAAAACCTGCTACCTTAGAGAGTCAGAGAAAGCACTCAGCTGACCTTCCTCTTCCAACAATGCCCCAGAAGCCCTCCCTTCTCCTATGACATCTCAAAAAACTCTCCTAAACTGAATGTCCCTCCCTTCTACTTCCTGTTCCTCTATCTGTCCTCTTGACTCCCTCTTATTCTCTATGTTTGGTTTTTTTTTTTTTTTCTCAATAATCCTGTGTTCGCTTCCTGTCAAATGGTTGCTTGCTTCACCTTTTAACCTATGGTTAACTTTATTTAGTCCTTTTTACAATATTGAAGCAGAAAGGTCTTGGATTAAAGGTGTGTGCTAGGGCTGAGCCACACCACAACTAGAAACAGGTTTTCCCAGTAAATAACACAATGCCAGGGTTCACTGTGATCAAATATCCTGCAACACACACACACATAAGTGTGTGTGTGTGTGTGTCTGTATGTGTAAAATAAACTTATTATTATTGTTATTATTATTATTATTATTATTATTATTATTATTATTTGAAATCCTAGTAAAAAGGTTTTAGAGCCAGCAGCATGGACACTCCCAGGCATTTGTTACAAATGCAAATTTTTAGGCCTCACCTAGACCTACTAAACCCAAACATTGATTGGGAGTCAGCACCTGTACATGAGCTCCCTGTGGCTACATATATTCCAGCAGAAGGTTGGCTTTCTCTTCCGAATTCTGTGTCCTACTTGAGTACATAGTATCCTACAGTCCAGTATTGACCATCACAACTGGCATAAATTTCCAGTAAATGAACTGCTTACATTTTAGATAAAGATTTTGATGTCATGGTTTCTAGCTCATTGTATTCATGCATGCTTTCCATTTACATAAACTGTGAGATTAGAAGCTGAGATGTCATGGTTTCTAGCATGTATTCATGCATGCTTTCCATTTACATAAACTGTGAGATTAGAAGCTGAGAAATTATATGTCTCACCCTGCCCGCAATGCTCCAACTATATACAAAAAGCTGTTCGGTACAAAGACACATGCAACAACCCAAGGCTTTTCAGACTTTAGGCACATGGGTTCCTTGGGTGTCTTATTAAAGTGCACGCTTGGCCTGAGGTGCTGTTCCTGCATTTCTAGACAGCTCCAGGCTGTCCCTGCTGCTCTGGGGATCACACTTTTGAATAGCCAGTCACTCTAACGTTATATATACATGGTTATTGGGGAGGTCCTGTCATGGGGATTTCCACTGTGACACTCCACCTTGCACATTGTCCAGATTTTTAACAAAGAACTATATTCAGGAAAACCAAGGAAAGAATTTTGAAATCTTTCTCTGGAATCTGCCTGACTTTTCCTACATCTCTGTCTGCAAACTGAGACTTTGAAAACATTTCCAAGAATGAATCAAAAAGAAGCAGATTGACTGGACCTATAACCCTGCCGAAGCTGGTGGTATTGGTATTAGGAACATGAATGTTTAAAAGCAGCAGGATGAGGTGTAGAGGGTGGGAGGAAAGATTCATCTCAGATGCAATTTCCCAGTGTATCAGACATCTAATTGGGTGGATTTAAGGATGTAAGTGATACATTTTAGAAGCTCAAAGGAAATGCTGGCTTAGGCCATGACTAAACCCAAGTCTTGCTATAACATTCTCAAAAACTGGATTCATACCATGCTCTGGTTGGGCTTTTTGGTCAACTTGACATAAACTAGGATCATCTGTGTGAAGGGAAGAAAAAACTTCAGTTGAGAAAACGCCTCCATCCAGATTGCTTATAGGCAAGTCTGTAAGGCATTTTCTTGACTAACAATTGACATGGTATTAATCCCACCAGATAAGAATAAGACAAACTACCACAATTTTTTAGCCAAATTTGAAGCAAGCTTTATTAAATACTGGCCATGCCCAGGATTCCCAGAGTATGACACTGAATTACATTAGACGGGGCCTTATAAAGGACGCACAAGGCTACCTACTTCCTAACTTCATCCAATCAGGGGCATACATCCTGATATACTTCCTGCCTATGTGTGATCAAACACATTCTGTGCAGTTGGGGCAACCAAGTTTCTTCACAGAAGCAAACATATGTGACTTGTTATCTTAAATGAACAACAGTCCCCAGCATTCCAGAAAGTTATCTGTCCTTGGGCAAGTGGGGCTTACAAGGATATAGGCATTTCTGTTTTATAGATCTCTGAAGCACAGTAATTGTAACTTCAAACATAACTTTAGCCATCACGTGGGCAGGCCCAGCCCACAGTGGGCCGTGCCACCCCTGGACGAGCTGTCTTGAGTTGTATAAGAAAACAGGCTGAGCAAGCCAGCAGTAGCAAGTCCATAAACATCACTGCTCCATGGTCTCTGCTCCAGTTCCTGCTTCCAGGTCCCTGCCCTGACTTCCTCTCAGTAATGGACTGTTCCCTGAAAGTGTAAGATGAAATAAATCCTTTCCTCCTCAAGTTGCTTGCAATCATGATGTTTATCGCAGCAGTAATAACCTAGCTAAGACATGGCATTTCCAAGCTCTGATTTCTTCTGCAATGGCTTTCTTATCAGCTCTATTCCCCGAGAACTGCAACCATCAGTCCTAGGTTCTGCCTGTATGATCTGCAAATGCTTCAGAACCCCACCTCTGAATCTGATGGCCTTGGCTTCCTGTACACTTCTTTAAAAAAAAGTCTGGGAGTGGTAATGGCATCACCCAAACAAATAGGGGAAAGGTGATGCCCCAACAAAAATCAAAGTTTTAATGAAAGAACAGAGGTAATGGATGTAATTGTGAAAGGTGGTGTGATTTCTCTGATCCTCAGGGCCATCCTTTTCATTGCATTTGTTTAGAAGCCAGGTTACATGATTTAAGCAAAGTCACATAGCTCAAGACCAGTGGAGCCAAGATTTCCTAATCTCTTCTTTATTGGTCTTTTCTCTCTACTGTTGCCTCCTTGGAGTCTAGGACTTAATCAGACATGGAGCCTCTGTAATGTTTGCCTTATCTTTGAATGTTGTCTTTAACGATGTATTCCATCATATTCGACTTAAAGAAACTGTAATGGTTCATCTGTCATCTTTGACTCTCTTACTTTGGCTGCCCAGAGTAAGAAAACCACATTCCTTCTGTGATAGTAATCCTCACTATTCCTTTGCTCTTTGGGGGAAACAAGTCAAAGCTTGACAAAGTGTAGCTTGCCTATCTGCTTCGAAGGACTCCGACCCGTAGTCTGGTGATCCCATGAGTGAGGTGGATGCCCTGTGTGTGGAGAAGTTCATACCAGCCCCTCTATCCTTCTGTGGTATAGTTTTACCCTACAGCTTGATTAATAGGCTGGTCTAGTCTTCTCCTTCAGGTGGCATGTTGCTCTCTCAATTTTCCCAGGCCCAGTGATATCCCCATGGACAGGTAGAGGCATGCATGAAAACTCTGGAAGCCTGCCCAAAAAGCATGTCTGCAGTTTGCAAAGGGGCAATGTAGCAATTACATGAGTAATGCCGTGGCAGGTCTTCTATGAGAAATCAAAACTGGGAAAGGAGGGATTTCCTCCTTGGAGGAAGGGTGTTGGGTGAACTAACTCTTGCCTTGGAAGCCCTGTTTTTTCCTCTCCCTCCTCCCCCCTCAAATTCAATTCCTGTCTCTCTAGACATTTTTTTTTTCTGAGTCCTTCACTCTGGTACTCAATAAGCCATGGGGAAGGAAGAGAAGGGACTGCCTAGAAGCTTACAGTCTGCTTGCTCATAGAACCTGAAAGTTTTCTCAGGTTCTGGTTCCAGGGGAGGGAGCTGAAGAACTCACCCTGGTGCCTGCCGGGTTCTGAGCAGCAGCCAGGCTCCTGGTGGCTCCTGGAGCAGGTAGGAACAAATGGTTATTCTTATGTTTTGCTTTGCATGAACTGTAGTCTGAAGACACACTGAATCCAAAGGACCAGTATACGGGGTACAGTAAGATGTTCCAAAAGTGTAGGTGCTTTGGCATCTGTCTGTTGAGAGCATCTGCACCCTGAGTCTTCTCTGAAGAGTTGTCCAGGTCCAGCCACAGCAGGCAAGATAGGAAGGAGCTCACATTTTAATGACTTGATGGTGCCTGTGTTTTCTGAACTCCTCTCGTGTGCATGTTGGTGTGTGGGTGCCCTGTCTGCAGACACACACACCATTGTGAAGGACACTCTCAAAATCACAGATGGTGATTCGAGTTCCCCTTCATGCATGGTTTTATTAAAGCCCAGCAATGGCTTCTTATAAGACAGTGCCATATGTTCTTGAAAAGGAATCTGGGAGTCTGAGAAACATTGAGTAGGTGATGGTTATATTAGCATCAGTTACAGGCTCACCCTCAGGGTCACAAGAGAAATCTACACATTTTGGGCTCATGTGCTTCTTTATAAGGAATGTAACTTAGTAAAACCAGATGGGAGGCCATGAAACAAATGCGATGAGCTATTGCAGGGTTTGTCATAACCAGATCCCAAGTGCTGTAAAAGTAAAGTATGGTGCATGGCTGACAGAAGGAAGTAATAAAGGGAACGTGGAGAAGAACAAAATAGAACTTGTGAGACGTTTTAGGCCCACTTTCTCAAAAGAAAACTAAGTAAGTTTGGGAGTCAGCAACCAGGCAGTCATCTCTCAGGTAAGATATTTAAGAATCATGTCATTACATCACTGCTTTGTCGTGACTGCTCTTGAACATTGTATGAGAGCAGGTTGGGGGTGGAGAGCACCCTGGCATAGAGGGCTACGAAGGATGCTGAGTGCTCTCTTGGCAGCACATATACTAAAATTGGAAGGGTGCAGACATTAGCATTGCCCCTGCACAAGGATAATGTGCTATAAAACCCTGGGTTTCCTTAATTACTTTTTCTGTAAATGTTAGCCAGTGCCTTGTGTGTTTTAGGCACTGGTATAAGCCCTCAACTATGTATATCCATGCATCTATATGTCTGTATCTACCCTTCTGTTTCTCCTCTTCAGTTACCTTTACCTACCTCTTACTACTGTGACCAGCAAAAACACAGCCGAAGTATTGGCGTGGCTGTGGGAAGGAAGCCCGCTTGCCCTGTCCAGTTGGGAATGACTTCTGATGAAAATAACCACTTCCAGGTTTCCCTACTTGGCTCAAGCTTTCTTAAATTCTAGTTCTTGGTGGCTTAGTGGTAGTCAGTGCTCTGCTATCAGATTTACATACTGACTGTGAACTCCACTTTTCCTGGAAAGAGCATTGCTCCTTGTCTGCAAGAAGGTACAAAGCAGGGAGAGCCCTGCCCTGCTCTCCCCCAGACCCTTTTGAGGGTGAAGATACCTTTTTCTTCCAGAGGATTCTTTTCTGGTGTCTCCCAGGTCTTTCTTTCCCACTTTGGGACACATCTGAATGCTCCTGGACTGAAGTAAGCATGACTGGACCTTCCCTTGTCCTAGTCCCAGGCCATCCCTGCCACTGAAGGCTGGAACATTGCTATTCTGTTGCAGACCCAAAGACAAGGCTAACAGATGTGGCCATGACATTTTTCACACCATGCACCCTTCCTTCTCATTTTTCCCTGTAGCTTCTCTTCCTCTTGCTTGGCTGTGCTACTCTCTGCTCTGGAAAGTTCTGTCTTTGTCACTGGCAGTCACTGTCTCCCAGCTCATGTTGAGCATGGGCTCTTTTAGCCCTTTCCAAAGGCTGTAAGTCCCTGATCTAGTATATCCTTTACAATATACTTGTGAGGTGAGGACCATCAATACCCTGCTTTGTGAAAAAAGGAAGGAAGGAAGGAAGGAAGGAAGGAAGGAAGGAAGGAAGGAAGGAAGGAAGCTAAGTGAACATGATCTTGGACGAGGTCAGACTGAAATGGCCCTGCAGAGCCTCCGTTACAGCCTGTGATGAGAGAGACAGTTGAACTGAGCCCGAGACTTTCCCAGAAGGTAGTACAGACCCATGACTTGGACGAGGTCAGACTGAAATGGCCCTGCAGAGCCTCTGTTACAGCCTGTGATGAGAGAAACAGTTGAACTGAGCCCGAGACTTTCCCAGAAGGTAGTACAGACCCATGAGGAAGGCAGATGATGCTATTCTGGCCTCCTCAGCTCCTTTGTCTTTCATGAAGCCTCAAAGAAGGCCTGCTAGTGGCCACCAGGGAGACCAAAGGACTTCTCCGCAGCCTGTGGTGACTTTTCTCTGCAGTGGTCTGTCATGCCTGCCTTTGAGGCCTGACAGCTGACATTTATCTTGGTCCCCATTGATAAAGAAGCACTGTGCAGCCTGCCCTTTGTTTGTTATTTAAGGCCCACATGGGTTCTTCAGGCATGGGCATGGGGGTTTCTGCTGCCCAGTGCTGGTATTTCTGGAGACAGGCTCAAGCCTTTAAATGTCAGGTTTTCCATGCCTATTTTTCCTTCTCTTGACTTTCATCTTGTATGCTTAACCCCGCGGAGGCCCAGGGGACTCTGTTCTATCAACTTCCACTTACCACTCCTAGCAATTGCCGGAAACAATCCCTATGAAGAATTCAAGAAGTGTCTGGGATGCTTACCAGTTGATGCCCCTGTGTTACTAGTGATGGCTTAGGCTCACCCAGGGGGAGTGTTCTCACATCCTGAACCCCTACAGGCTTTCAACCCACCGGCAAGTCTTCTGAAAAGTAGATTTCTGTCTCACAAGACTAGAGATGTCAGGGAAGTAGAGTTCTTAGTAGCCTCTGTGCCAAAGCAATGGGTAGAGTTCTCTGGTTAACTTGAACAGTGCCCTGAAGCTCCATCTCCTCAGACTTGTTTAGAAACTATTATTGATGTGAAGCTTGGAATAAACTACTGAAATATAACCAGCTTCGATATTTGGCCTTAACTTTAGGTTTCAAAGGGTTTTCTTTGTGGTGACATTGTTATGAGGAAATTGGAGATTTGAAATTAGGAAACTGGAGGAGACTAATCTTGATGCAACACCTGCTGTGAGTCAAATACTCCACTACACTCTTTACATACGAAAGCAGCATTCCATTCATCCTGACAGGAATAGGCAGAGTGGAAAGACTGAAGGCCAAGATCATAGAGTTAGGGTAGTCAATGTGGTGACTGACGGTGGAGTGCAAGAGTCAGAGTCAAACCTGCCTCTGCTATGGTGCCTTGATTATAGACAGCTTCTCAATGGACAGTGTCCTCAGATGCTCAAGAAGTAATAGGTTATAGATAAAGTAGCCTCCTTGGGTTTCTTGAAATGAAGCCTAACATGTAAGACGTAATCATTGATTTATTGATTTATATGGTTGCAGTCTCAAGATGGCCTCTAAAGGCCTGTACCTCCTGGTATTAGCATTATCCCCTTCCTCATTCTACCAGAGCTGGTCTAAGAGCACACGGAAGTGATGCGATGTCTGTCCAGATATCACGTTATAGACAATGTGGTAGCGTTCGTCTTAGTCACAGTCTCCCTCTCTGAGGTCTCTCCTAAAGGAAGCCAGCTGTCACAATGTGAGAGAAGGTGTGGTGAGGCTCATGTGGAGAACAAGGTGGTAAAAGTACCTCTACTGAAGTAGGACCCCAAAGTGTCCCTTCACCAGAAGGCTGGTGCCATCAGCCTTGTCCATGCCCTGCAAGACAGACCTCTGTAAACAGATGGTGTCAGTTAAATGTTGCTACAGAGCAAACACCTTAAACATCAGTGGCCTAAACCAACTTCAACTCACTGTTTCTCATGGTCCATCATCTTCAGATGATGTGCCCTCGCTTTGAATCTGCAATGTCCACTTCAGACAACATGCATGCGTTCCTCCCATGTGCGAAACGTGTTTATCTTCTCAAGCCTCCGAACTCTCTTTCACTGACCACATGAAGTTCAAACATCATCATCTTATGTGCTACATCCAGTCCAGATATGATAAAGGTACCCTGTCCCCTCTTTATCCAGAGGGGAAGTTTGCCTTCCCCTCTAAGTCTAAGCCTGTTGGTTTCCTCTAAAGTCTGCTTCCAAATTAAGCCATATAACTGATAGACAAGCTACTCAAATAGCCAGATATCTCCGAACAGGATATTCCAAACAGGAAACAGAAGCTGCAGCAACGGCAGCCGGTCCACAGCGATTCTTGATTCTGTCTGCACACAGACTGTCAGGTTCCCAGTTCCTTGAACAAATCCTGGTTCTACTTTTGACTTATCACCTGGGCTCTTCACTCTTCATTCTAAGATGTCTTTTGGGAAAGAAATGGCTTGTGTTTGCCCCTCTGCAGTGCTCCCTGCCTCTAGAAAATGGAGAGGAGTAAAAAATGTTTCCCATCATTTTAAACTATTACTACAGTCTGGTATAACACCTTTGAAAATGTTGTAGGATATCTATGTCCCTTATTGTGTTGTGCATTCCGCAAAGTGTAACCACAATGCTTTGGGGGAACCGATCTCTCTCTCTCTGTATTGATGCTGGCCAAGAAAAATATGCAAATCACAGATATGAGCCACATATGCCACAGGCCACATATGCATGTTTTAACATTTTAACCGCTACTTTGTGTGAGTGTGTGTGTGTGTGTGTGCGTGTGTGTGTGTGTGTGTGTGTGTGTGTGTGTGTGTG